TTTGACTAACTATCCTTGTAGTATTTATTATTTCCTGTACTCTCTTGGGTGTGGATTTTCTTCTCTTCAGACTGTAATATTTCTTCCATGATTCTCTGTAGATCTGGCTTAGAAGTCACCAATTCCACTAATATGTTTTTATCATGGAAAATTTTTATTGCCGTTCAATTATAATAGCTAGTTTGGTTGGGTATAGTAACACAAGTTGATAGTATTTTACATGGTGCAGGAGGCTGGGCTTTTTTTCCTGTATCAAAATTCCCATGAGCTGTGTGTGGGTCTGCTGTCGGAGTCCACAGTGGAATGGTCCCTGAGCCAAGGACCCTGGGCAGTGTGAGCAGGCCTAAGCAAAAAAAAAAAGCAGTGCTCAGTACTTGGTTCAGGGGCCATTAAAAGTTTTTAGCAAGGTCTTTTAGCTGCTACTGACTGGGAATAATTCATAATTGATACACTAGTAATAGTCAGGTCTTCCTTTCCGAAGAGTAGCATTACTAATTAATACCTACTGGATGACTGTCAGCACCCACACTTCTCCCTGTAACAGGGAAATCTTGTAGGAGGAAGCTGTTTTGTGAGGCAGATTTATGTGAGGTGATTTCCTTTTAGATTCTCCTTTGGTGTAGCTCTCTTTGCTGTCTCAATCCAGATGATCTACCCGAAGAAATGAAGTACTGATTGACATGCATAGAGCCTTTCCTGCTCTCAGAAGACTGTAGTTTACACAAAACCTTGTACCTTAAGGTCTTTCAGTTTGTACTGCTAATTGCTAAAGTCTGTGAACATGACATCTTCGCTGCTAGTTTACTCTACCTCTGGCCCCAAGAGCAACTCCGCTCCAAGAGGAGTATCCCTTAGAAGTTGCTCTTTGATGCTCTATGCTGTTTACAGAGGGCATTCCATCGGCCATCTGTTGTCCATCTTCCTTCATTGGCACCTGGGTAATATCTTTGCCTACAAATAGGAAATACTGCCTCATAAAGTTGGAGTGTTCTAGTGACTAAAGTGAGAGGATTATATGCATAAGAGAAAAATGTTCTGTATAAAGTGTTATTTAATGTGGGAAGAAAGATGAGCTAGTCAGTGAGTGATGCTGAGACTACTGGTTATTTGTTTGTAAAAATAAACTCTTTTTCTATGCCTTATGTCAGGAAGACTGTAGTCACTGTGCGACTTGGAATGGCAGCGCTATAGCTGTAATCACGCTATGTCCCAGGCCTGTCTGCTGGGGTTGGTAACCTTGGGCTGGCACAGCCACCACCATTAAGACAAAACCATGGGCTCTGTTAAGAAAGAGGGGGGAAGGGGAGGTTTTGTCTTGGCAGTTTTGTGCTCTAGCTCCAATTTAATAGTCATAGACACCGACTGTTCATCACCCAAAATGGTTTACATGGCCCAGAAGCAGCCTGGTCCCAAATACAAGAGAGCCAGAATATATTATTTCCTTCTTACTTGAAGGAAGAAGCTGAGCAGATTTGTTGAAACAAGTATTTGGCCCACTTTGTTTACTGAAGCAAAATCATGGCCAGTGAAGTGCATGGAGGCCAGTCCTAGATGAAAGAAAACGTGGACGAATGCCGGTAAGACTTCTGGAGGGTGTTAAAGGGGTTTTGATTTTATTGATGTATCTATGGGCGTGGGGCCATGAGGGTGTGTGAAGATATATGTGCAGGTGTCGTGAAGGCCAGACAAAGGCTTCAGGGTCCTAGAGCTGGAGTTACAAGGCAGTTGTGAGCTGCCCAATTTTGGTACTAGAAACCAAACTCACGTCTTCTGTAAGAACAAGTACTCTTCATTGCTGAGCCGTTTCTCTAGCCCCTTGTCTGGAGGGTTACTAAAAATAAGACTAAAAGATCAAGCCATTAGAATGGCATAGATTTATTTCACTGTATTAAAAGTTTGAATTTCTGTAAAATAAAAGGCCAGTTCCTAAAGGCTCTTAATTAACAGTACATGGACTAGCCTGACTTTCAGCAAACCACCTAGAGTTGTGAATACAATATTGTAAGCATATTTTTTTACCATGTTTCTGAAGATGGAAGTTTCTGTCCTGCCCAGTCCCATAGCCATTCAGTCCCAACAAAACTCACAGAGGTTTATATTAATTATAAACTGTTTGGCCTATTAGCTTAGGCTTATTATTAACTTGAATTTACCCATGGCTCTTACAACTTGAATTTATCCATGATTCTTATCTGTATTTAGTGACTTGGCTTGGTACTTTACTCAGAGAGGTATTTTTTATCTTGCTTCCTCTGCATCTGGCTGGTGACTGCAGACAAAGTCTTTCCACTTTCCAAAATTCTTCTATTCTGGTCACCCTGTCTATACTTCCTGCCTGGCTACTGATCAATCAGTGTTTTATTAAGCCAATACAAGTGACAAATCTTTACAGAGTACAAGAACATTCTCCCACAGCATGTTTTGATGAAGTGCTGAGAAAATGTTGGCTATTCTTAATAAATCAAAGCAAGTCAACAACTGTAACAGATCAAGGGAAAGTTTCCTGGCAGGTAAATGGCTGAAGATTCTCACATGTGTCTGCTTAGCCCCAAGAAGAAAGCATGTTGGTGATTGCAGCTCTACTAGTAGGGAGACAGTATGGAAAATGCCAGAAGAAGACTGAAGGCCAGAAGGCTGTAACTCTCAGTGAAAGTACAGTGTGTCTTCAGAGACTTCTCATCTCACATACTGCATGATGGATGGAGAGCAGGAAAGAAAACAAAAGAGACTACTATGGTCTTGGGACAAAGGCAGGGGAACTTATCCACTTAGGCAACTAAATAATGCCGAGAGCTGGAGAAATCGTCTTCCCCAGGGAAGAGCACACCAACTGGTTATCTAGTACCAAACGGTCAGCCCTGAAAACATGTGTATGAGTAACACTATCCAGACTGAGCAGGGCATATTTAAGTATTTAGGAATGCTTGAATGCTTGATGTAGAGCAAACTCAAGTCAACTGCACCTGGATACCTTCCCGAGGAACATGTCTGCCAAGCTCTGTTGTTTCCGAGGACAAGAGGAAACTGTCCACAGAAGCCTGTGAACATTTGCATACCCTTTAACCTCAGCTAAGAGTCAAGACCTCAGACGAAAGCAAAGGCCTCTTGTTACAGTTTTACCCTACCTCGTTTTAGTTGCAGAAAATGTGCTACATAGCTACAGGCAAATGGCCTGTCTAGCACTTGTGATGGAAGATGGGTGCAGAGGGAAGGGAAAATTAAAAGGAAGAGAATTAAAAGAAGGAAGAAAGGAAAAGAAAAAGAGTAAGAATAGAACATGAAGGGAAAGCCTAAAACTGAAAGTAAAGAGATGGACAAAAGTAAGCAGAGGATGGGAGAAGAGAGGAGGGGTTTGTGGGGACCAGGGTTCAAGAGAAAGGGAGGGAATGGAAAGAAAAGACTCATTAAGAACGGGAAAACATGGGGACTGAGTATCACAGGTTCTCTATTATGAATATTTGAAGCTCACCAGCAAAATTCTGGTGTGAAAGTAAGTCAAAATTTTTGTGAAGGGTTGGTAATTCCCACACAAGACTCAAACTCAATTGTCAGCATTCATGTCAAGTGGCTACTCACAATGACAAACCCTGTCTAGGAGATCTGACACTCTCTTCTCTTCCCTGTGAACTCTGCATTCACACACACACACAGAGTTAAAAATAATAATTTCTAATAAGTTAAAAAGAGAGTTTAGAGAAAACATCCAGAAAATGTTCTGTACTCCAAGTGTGTAACGAAAGTCTGCCAATCAAATACAAAAAAAAAAAATCTATTATGGAAAATGGCCAAGAGAGTTCACTGAGATACAGAATAAAAGGCCCAAAACATGTAAAAAAGATAAACTAAGTCATAAGTAGTCATGGAAATGCATTTTGTACCTGTAGATGGCACTGTCTTCTGCCAACCATGGTGACTGTGGTTCTTGAGCTAGAAATATTGGAATGCTTAGTCTCTTTTGATGCCAAAGATGGAGGAAATGACTGATTTGTCCCCCAAATCCCATCTCTTATTTCAATAAAAAGTCTCTTAGAAGGACAAAAACAGGAAATTAGACATTCTCCAACCAAGAGTCTAAATTACATACTGGATAAAAGCACCAGTTGGTTCCTTTGAGTTCAGGCTTGAGTTTTACTAAATCAGGAGATTTAGGAGCAGGTTCCTAAAGACTATCTTGTGGCTTCAGAACTATCCAAAGGGACTGGGGGTTATTGGGGACAATATTATCGAAAGTTTTATTGGGACACTAGGGAGCATGAGAAGTAAATTAAGTCTTATTAAGCCCAGTTTTTAAAACGAAAACTCAAAGCTCTAGTTGTTTTGGCCACCGTGAATAAAGAAGACATGGATATTTGCATTGGCATCATCCTGCTTCTCAGATGTGAGATCAGGGTCACAGTAGCTGCATACATGCATCCTCTAAGCCACTTGAGTAAAACCTAAACTTGTCTTGCGCATACTCTTTTTAAGCTTCCTGTTGCACAGGACCTCCGGGGAAGTTTGGCAGACAGTATTGTCTCTAAAACAATGTGCGATATTTAGACAGTGCGGTTGTCATGAATTAGTAAAGGATGCTTTAAGCTCCAGTCCCTTATTTTATTCCTACCTGCCAAGAGATTGATGAAATGATGTGCAGGCCAAGCATTTCACAGTTTAGTTTCTAAGACAGCACTCAAAATCCTCCAATGACCAGCAACAGCCCTGAAAACCAGTAGATGGTTGCCTGGTCAGTAGGTTTTAAAACTCAAACCTCCTCCTTTTTTCCCTTTCTTGCAGAAACCCTGGCTCTCAAATAGAGTTGTGAGTCCAGTTACCAGAATGGGTTGGCCCATCCCTCTTGGCTAACGTGTCTCATCAGGGGCAGAACCCAAGAGCACACATACACCTTTAGCTCCCAGTTCCAAGGGATAACTCTGTTGATCCAGGATCACATTTTGAAAATCGCTGGCCCTTATTTCCCTTCTTTAGTGTCACTAGGATTTGACCTGCTTAAGATTTATGAAACAGCTCTAAACTCCCTCACCATCCTAATTGCGTAAGTTGTGAGATCCAGCTGATAAGTTTTAGCAGTTGTTGCCAAGGATGGGCTGTGCAAAGAGAAGGGTAATTTGCAAAACAGTTTTGAATCTGTACTGAGCGGCAGCTGCGACTTTGATCACCTTTCATAAGGATTCTATTAACTGTCAAACTGGAGCATTAAGGAACCTTTGATCAACTTTCATCACCATCCTGCTCTCAAACCGTGATGCTTGCCTATCAAGGCAACGAAGTTGGTACGTTCTCATAGCATTTTTACATTGAACAATTTAAAGTGTTTTCACTTTTTTATTCTTTGGTGGGGGTTGCTGGTGGTTGACCCTTGCAGTTGCAGTTTGCGTGTGTTAGCTATCTATTATACTGTTGTCTGAACCATTGGGGAACATTGGAATAGGCCATGTACAATTCAGTATCCAGCCAGACAGGAAATCATTGATAGACCAAACAAATCTTCTTTGAATCAATCAAAATTCTTTTCCTAAGACAGTTGCATTTACATGAGTCAAGAACAACAATGATCTTCTAGAAGCCAGGGAAGCTCATCTACTTTCTTGCTCGTTAGAGAGTCATGTTTATGTAATTGGAATTATTTGGTGGCATTTCATTTGTATTTTAATAAATGAAGATTGCCTCAAAACCAGAAAAGTAAAACGACCACACTAGCCAGTCTTATAGACCAGGCAGCAATGACACACACCTTTAATCCCAGTAGCCACAATGACACACATTTTTAATCCCAGTAGCTTGCCATAGAAACTAGGTGGTAGTGCTGTGAACCATTAATCCCAGGACTACCGAAGATTATAAAATGGGAGGAGATGACTCAGTCATAGTCTCACTCTGAGATTCCGGAAGGCAGGACATTTTTGGACTGAAGTCGAGGTCAGAGCCCATGGCTGGTGGCTTTGCTTTTCTGATCTTCAGGTTGAACTCCAATATTTGTTCTGAGTTTTTATTAATCATGCTTCATTTGGAACCCAATGTTTGGGGTATGAATTCATGAAAAATCTGTTTGCCTGAGTGTTTTTTTCCACTGGCATAGGCCAGAGCTGGACCCAAACCTAGTCACCTGGGTTTAGGAGAAAGACTACCTTAGTTTCCATGTAAAGATGGAAAATACAGAGAGAATCTGGAAAGTGCTTGTTATTGTGCTGTCTTTGAATTGATTGACTGCTGAGAAGGAAGTAACAGCTGCTAAAAGACATTTGAGAATAAATGCTCTGGATTAATCTAACCTATATATTTTGAAAATGCCTTGACTTAAAAATTTAAGTCAAAAGATGCATTACTTTGGAGAAGAGGTTTTGCTCTTATTTCCATAGGAAATGAGAGGCTGTGGATTCATTCTGGGTTAAGAAAAATAAGTTTTGATCAAGGAAGACCCCACGAAAAATCTCCAATTGGAACTGATAGCGCTTTCAACCCATATTTCAGAGCACCTCTGTTGTAGTTTCTTCTGAGTTCTGCATCCAGAACAGCTTCAAAGATGCTGGGTGAGATGATTCAGCTTCATACAATACTCTAGTCAGGACTTATGCATAAATCTAAATTTTCTTTGGGTTCCCATAAGATTCTCAGCACCCCCAATCAGTAGGAAGTAGCCTAGAAAACTATGTTCACTTTCCCAAAAGAAAGGATTATGGATGCTTGTCTTTATTTAGAAGGTGGGTTACAAGTTACTTTTGGTAATGGTCAGGGAAAAAGCTAAACAAAGAAAATTAGATTCAAGGTTCTTGTTTTGAAAAGAAAAAAGGGAGATATAGATACGATAGGATAAAAGGGTAGATTATTAAATCTATTCTTAAAAGAAAAAAAGGGAGGGTATATATATGATAAGAAAATGGTAGATTTTAAAAGGCAACTACTAGTTTTAAAGGTTTTACATTGGACTGGACTTTTGTATATTGTATACAAATTTTGTATATTGATACAAATTTGAGATTAATTTTGTTACAACATACTGTACATACATTTCTAATTTTGTTCAAGGTACTGTACCTATACAGCTTATTTAACAATGTAATGCTGTTGTAAAAGGAGCGGCGGGCTGCTTCTCACCACCCAACTCCTGGTTAGTTTACACCCGAAATAATTATACAGAAACTACATTCATTTAAACACTGCCTGGCCCATTAGTTCTAACCTCTTATTGGCTAACTCTCACATATTGATTCAACTCATTTCTAATCATCTGTATCGCCACTTGACTGTGGTTTACCAGCATGAGTCTAACCAGCATCCATCCCGGAGAGGAGAGTCATGGCGTCTGTCTCACTGCCTTTTTTCTCCCAGCATTCTGTTTGGTCTACTCTGCCTATCTAAGCTGCTGTCCTATCAAAAGACCAAGGCAGTTTCTTTATTTGACCAATGAAAGTAACATACAGACAGAAGGCCCTCCTACACCAAATGCAAACTTTTAGTCCTTGAAAATTATTATTACCAACTATTTAGGGTAATAAGGAAATATATAGGTTAATAGTTAATCACCTAGTATAATAAATCTTGTAGTCATATTAGATATGCTATCAAACAAAGATACATTAAAATGTATCATTGTAAAATGTAAAGATTGGTCATCTTAAAACACTTAAGAGATCTACAGACTATGGCATTTAAGATGTTCTAAGATATTTTTATGACCTAGCTTCTTCTTTTTTATGTCAATAAGACAAGACGTGTCTTCTCCTGGCAGCACCAATATACTTCAGAGAAGATAATGGGCATTGAAGAAACTCAATATGGAATTTACTTTCTTTGTGACAAAATTAAGCCATGGGGCAAGAAAATACCCCTGCCTCAACTGCTGACAGTGTCCTGTACTAATTAGACAAGCAGGATAAAAAAGCAAGTGACTGCCAAACATTGTCAAGGAAAGGAAGGATAGACCTTCAGAATATCCTGCTTCACAGAAAACTGTTAGATATGCTAGGCCTGTAGGTTGAAGATGGATTTGATTATGACTGTCTATACTTTGGCTTTAGATATCAATGTGTCTTTGTAGTGTTTACCTTCCACCCTTGCCATCTGTGCAACTTACCTCCTGAAGACATTAAGTAAAGAGAAAGGGAGAGATGCAAGATGCTACCAAGAACCTTCCCTCCATGATTTTTTTTTCCGAATTTTAGGCCCCATCTCTTAAAATTTCCAGAGCCTCACATATGATCAGCTAGGGATTAAGAATTCAACGCATGAATCTGTGCTGTGCATTTCACATAAAACACCCCTGTGAGCTTTGTTTTCACTGCTCATGCATCCTTTACATCTCACTATAAATTTTGTATTAATTTTTCTTAGTTTGGGTTTTGTTAAAAGAACACTGATAGACAGTTGCTAAGGAGATCAGGAAGTGAGGCCAGAATAGAGCCCATTAATCTGTCAGTCAAATGTGTTGTGGTTACCTGGAACCTGGAACAGAGGACACAGACTAAGGAATAATCTCACAAGAGAGAGAAATCACATCCCTTTTACCTTCTTCACTCAGGCCTTTCATAGAGCACTGATTCCAAGACAGTTATTGTACTGCTTGGATTGGAAAATAAAGGCCCCAAGTTCAAGAGAAAAAGAGCTCACAGGTTTAGGCATTTGGAATTCAACTGTTGAACATATTTGCTCATAGTGTAGCCTGAGTAGCCTACTGGGTTGGAATTCAGGTCTGACTAAGGTCAACTCCATTGCTTTCCCAGCCGTGCAATACTCATCTGTCGGGTCCCATGGATGTGGATCTGTTCCACTTTGACCAAAGGTCAGAGAGTTCAGACTACTCCTGCTCCTTCAAGATTATGACAGGAGGTTTGATCCATCCAGGGAGTGACTGCCTACAGAAAGCTCGGCCTAAGGTATTGTCACTGTATATCCTGCCTAAATTTCAGAATACTTAACTCAGGGTATAGTTACTTGATATTTCATGTATTGAAGAGGTGGTTGCTCTGTTTGTTCTTTGTATCATGGTAAATCAGTCTTTTACCTTCTTCCCCCCTTTTGGATTGGGGTATATAAGCATTTGAAAAATAAATGTTGGTGAATTCAGTAATCACTGATTTGCCATCCTAACTCTACTCTGTGACTCTATTTCTTTGGTATCTCTGTTTTGTCTGCCTGACATTTCTAATCCACAAGTCCCTGCCTTGGAACATACAAACCCATCAAGGCTGGACCCTGACACTCATCCGAATATTCCCCAGCTATCCCATGGCAGGGAGGGATTTTAGATTGAGACTCCAACCTTTTAGAACGGCACTGCCCTCAATCACTCCCAGAGCAATACAAACCTGAGAATAAGCTATAGTGCTTTGTATTGAAGCCAAATATTTCTGATCTGATCATATTTATATTGTATAGAAGTTATGCACTCACTGAATCATTAATTTGCTCTATAACTTTTCATGTTAGTTATTTTTATATGGCAGGTGCATTGTACAAGTGTAGCAGGAAAACGAGAAAGAAGTTCACTGTGGGCGCCAAAGTAAAGAGCAAAGAAATAAATCGTTGAAAGACCTAGCCAGAGGTAGACTGAACCCAGGGTGGTTTCAGGTCAGTCCCTTAACTTTGTATTTATTTCCCTGTTCTGTCAATATGACAGCTCCTACTCATCCCTGCTCCCTCCTCAGCTCTAACTCCATGTGGTTTGGGTATGTTTAGTGGCTTGTCATCAAATGAAGTGTCAAAGTCTAGGCGTACAATGTTTGCTCATTTGATGTACGCAAGAGAGAATTAAATATGAACTTTGGCAAAAGCCTATTAATAATTGACAAATAACGGAATTGTCTGGGCATAGTAAACAGTCCACGAAAAACCCCCAGAATATCTAAGGTTGCTGTACCCTGCTGCAATGTTGCCCCGGCTGGTCTGCATCCGTGATTATGAAGAGCACGCCAGATCAGTGCTTCAAAAGTCAGTATATGATTATTACAAATCTGGGGCCAACGATCAGGAGACCTTGGCTGATAATATTAGAGCGTTTTCTAGGTAAGAAACTTGGTTATTTAAAATTGCATTTTAATATTACACAAAGGTATTGCATCAGAATGAGATGTAGTTTTATATTCCGGTGGTGTGAAATTGCATGCATTTGTAATTAATAAACAGTAGAAAATTTCTGTCATGTGAGAGACCTTGACGTCTTAAAATGCTAAAGTATTATCAGTCCAGGGGTCGATGGTGAAAGTGAGTCCTACCTTTACTTGAACAAGGACAGTAATCAATTTAACTATGCATACCAATTGTCATAAATGCTGATGCCTCCACTTCCTTTTTATCAGAGTGTGACGGAGAATGCTTGTGTGGATGGACTGGGAAGATGACTTTATGTGCACAATAGCCGCCCTAAGCAGTTGAACCAGATAGTATGTCCTCAGATGTCCCCTTCCTGCTGGCTTCTCTGTGATCAGCCACTTGATTATGGCTGTCTACACTCTTGCTTTAGCTTCCAGTGTGTCTGCATAGCATCCACCACTGACCCTTGCCATCCCATGCCTCCTCTAACGTGCTTCATCTTTCTCCCCAAATTAATCTGCCCAGGCTTTCATATTTCAGACACAAGATGGTAGGTGTCATGGGTTGTGCTTTCTTTTTTTATTGTAAAGAAAATGTTTCAGTGGATGTTATTTTTGTTGTTTTGTTTTGCTCTCTCCGCCGAGTAGCTAAGGGGTTCTTTACCTCACTCTTTCTTAGGGTCTCATCTTCCACTGTAGTCCTTAGTGATGGCAGTAGGTATTAGGGTTCCCCCCACTAACGATGGCTCATTAAATGGGAAGGGACCTAAAATATCCAGAGACAGAACATCTGCCTTCTTTCTTATTTCTTCTTTGATCTGGAGTGAAATCACTCCAAATCACCTTCACGTTTTTGAATTATGAGAAATTAAATCCTTTTGATGAAGGCGGTAACTTGATGTCAGCAGCTGCTTTACACACAGGTTGGTGGTGACAGAGTGAAGGATGGGACGTCTCCCCAAGGACGTCTCTGAAGTCCCTGCTCAAGCTTTCTCTGGAACCTTCTTGAACTTATAAATGCCAGGGAAGCTGTGGCTGGGGAAGTGTTTGACAGTGCAGGAGCTTATAGTCCTGCATTTTCCCCAAACATTTTTTAATGGTCAACATTTGCTGCGCTTCTCGAACATTCCATCTTGGGACCATGTCACTGTATTCTTTGGGTAAAAGGCTTGCCTGAGTGCTCCTTAAACAACACTTTATCCCTACGGGATTTTCACAGCCAAAAGATTTTTTCAGGCCCTTGGACATACAGGGCTGGTGTCTCAGTATTGCTGCTGGTGATCGCCTGGTCTCTACCCCTTGAGACACCCTATAGCATGTGGTCCAACTTATTAACTTACTTATCATTCCACAATATAGCCCTGTGTGATGTCAAACTGGCTGTGCACACCCAGCTGGCCTGGGACTTGCAGCCATCCTGCCAGCTCTGCCTCCTGAGTGCTGCAGGAATGTGTCAACATGCCGGGACAATTGATTGACTTACACGGTGAGCTGTTTTTCAGACAAGGCTGTTGCAGAGCTGAGGACCTAACAATGATCTGGATAGAAAGCGCCTACCAACAGGACCTTGCATTTAGGTGGCTGCACATGGACTTAGCTTCCATAACCTAGTGGGCGGAAGCGATGTAGAGTGGCCCCAAACAGCAACCCAAGAGAAAGAGCAAAGGAGTACAGCAAAACAGACTACCTTAGCAACCTGAGAAGTTCTGAGAACTTTCTGTGGCATTGAGGACATGGCGACTTCCAAGTTGTGAGCAACCAGAAAAACCCGCTTAGCTTCTGTGAATTCTATAGCACTCCCATTAGAAATAACACCCTATGTGTTCACTAATTTACCCCTAGGATACAGAAAATGCAACTGGGTTCACAGTGCCATGCCATTTATGAAGCTTGATAATTCTTTTGTTCTTTAAAAAGATTTAAAAAGGTATTAAGCAAATTTCTTCAGAGACAGCTCGTTCTTTGTGTTTGTACTACAAGAAATATGAGCACCAATCTCACATCTCAGTTCCTCCTTTGCTGTGTGACTCCCTGCCTGACCCATAATCCCTTGCTTTGTGCCCTTGAGCCGGTAATGTGGGAATAAGAATAGAGTCTCTGCTGGCTTTGATGGCATTGGGTTGGTAGCAGGAAGAGAGTCTCCCTGAGGCTTCTCATTCTGTTTCAAATAAAGGCTACAAACAAGCTGCTGTCAGATAATATTGTGACAGAAGGTCAGGGTGTCTCAAAGGTTTGTGAAATTCAGCCTCTTTCCCTCAAACTTGAAGAGGGAGCATCCACCCAACCTCCGAACTCCGCTCCCCAGCCCTGTCCATCAACACTCAGATCTGACAGTCACATTTTGGATTTCTGGAAACTTGGGTCACTTATGTAACCCAGTAGTGGCTTGTGTGCCTTAGGACTAGTATTATTATGACCAAAAACCAAACCAAACAAACAAAACAACTCCAGGAAAGGATGAATACAAAGAACCACCTAGAAGAAGGTAATTTCCTCTTGCAAATATGTAAGACCAAGGCAAATGTCAGAGTGCCGGCCACTTTATTTTGAATGGCCTTACCCGAGACTGTGGCAAATGTGAAAAAGTATTACTACGCTATTTCTTTCACACACTGACCTAAAGGAGCTTCCTCACCCAGTCACAGGCTCTGTGGCTTTTCCTGAAGGTGCTACTGATGGAAACTAACTCCATAGATCCGTAGACAGGATCGTGACATTGGAAGTAGAAGCTGCTTCCTTACTGCTGCATCCTAATTGACGCTGACAAGTAGGAGGTCTCATTTGAACTATCTATTAGATAAAAGTGGTGCCATCCTCACTTCATTGAGAACCAACACAAACTCACTAATGGTGTTTTCAGTATTACATAAGTAGAACTGTCCCAACATCTCTCCACAGATACAGTATATAAGTGAGGAGGGAGCGTTTTCAGACATTTGCTTTAAATTTGTAGAGAGCAAAGTTAAGATGAAGAAATTGGAAAGCCACGTGCAGGTATCTTAGAATTCCGGAAAAGTCAATTCCGGGTACTTAGTTGGTGTGATAACTCTGTGGAAGGTTTCTGAGCTGCACAATTTGTGAATATTATCAGGGAGCAGCTATGTCCTAGGAAGTGTGTGTATCTCTTGAGGTTTTGACCGGTTAGAAGCCTTTGTTTTGTGTGATGTGTAGGCTGAAAGTCCTGTTGCAAGTCCTTTGTTCATTCCAGTCTTTTGAAAGGCTTATTACTCAGTGGTCCAGCTGCTCTCTCTACCTTCACATCCTCTTACTAAAGTGGATGCCATGTGGAGCAGTATAAACTATGGAGACACATTGTTAGCAGTGCAGTTGAGATCTTAGTCATTTAAATTCGGGGTAGTTTTTTTGGGGGGGTGTCAAAAATCCACTGAAACTCTCTGGCAAAGTTATTGTTAATTGGAAAATACCAAAAACTGGAGGAGACTTTAGAAGATGTACACTTGCTTGTTCCACTGTTTTTATTTAATTTTGCTGAGAAATGTGGGGGTTGAAGTGTCTCTGTAATATCTCGAAACAGAAAATGTATTTACGGAAAGTGGGAGCAAGCTGTTATTAAGGTGACTGCGCCACCACGTGGATGTGTGTAAAACTGCCACGTCTGGGTAGAATAAGCTTTGGTTTGTAAATGGGTGACATTAAAAAAGGCACCTTTTCCACATGTGCACACGCAGGCGTACACACACACACACACACACACACACACACACACACAGAGAGAGAGAGAGAGAGAGAGAGAGAGAGAGAGAGAGAGAGCTGATGCTCCACAGTTTTCTGTGTATTCAACTAAAAACACACTTAGAGATGATTGGTAATTAAGAATTCTTTTCTTCCTCTCCCCCTTCAAAATGGAGATTAAAGCATCATGCTGAAAGTGTCCGTGGAGAGAAGATTTCCAGGAACAGAGCCTGTGGTGTGACAGAAAATGATGTCCAAAGGAACAGCACGGGAACCACACACTAAACTTGCTTTGTTATGCTGTTCATGGATGGTGTGTCTTTAGTTCTGCAGTGTGGTTTTGCGTTGTTCTCAGAGCTGTTTGCTAACATACAAGAGTTCTGCTGTGTCAATCAGAATTTAGTAAAAAATGACATGGGAATCCATTGCCATTTTCATTTTTATATTTTAAAGTTACAGCATTCACACACACACAAAAGGCAAGCTACAATATGATGGCTGCACATACCATGGGATTGTTACCTTGTTTGCTTTCTATGGTAGCAAACATTAATACTGTCTATTTTTCTTTAGTGTTATATAAAGGATTTGGCTTAATAAAAATATAATGTTATCTTTTAAAAACATGTTAAAGTTTTGGTTACACTTTTGAAATTCTAAATTATATATATGTGTGTGTATATATATTAATATTCATATTATTTAAATTCTAGATGGAAGCTGTATCCACGGATGCTCCGGAATGTTGGTGATATCGACCTGTCGACTTCTGTTTTAGGACAGAGGGTCAGCATGCCAATATGTGTTGGGGCAACTGCCATGCAGTGCATGGCTCATGTGGACGGGGAGCTGGCCACTGTCAGAGGTAGGAAAAGAGGCCTCAGCATAGAGACAGAAAGAGGCCAAAAGCGGCTCCCTCCTCTAACACCCTTCCGAGGAAGCTTTTATAAAACAAAACAAAACAAAACAAACAAACAAACAATAACAACAAAACACCCTTGGTTTTACCATCAGCTTTCTAGTTGGTGGCTCTCTCTATTCTTGGTTTTTTTATCAGTGCAAAACAGGGATCAAACTAGTTGTTGTGGCACTGGGTTGCTGTGAGTGCCACAAACATTATACAAATAAATGCCTGATACAGAGTAGTGCTGAGAAAATGTTGTTTTATGATCAGTAATACCAAGCTCTCCAAAAATGGAGATCTAAGAAGGAGCTTGCCCAAGGTGGGGTTATTCCAAACCAAAAGGATTTGCATAGAACAAATGCAGCCAAGTGGTTGGTTCTGTTTTCTTCCATGGTATTGGAACTTGATTCTATTTTATGGGTGGATTCTATTCCCAGTAGAGCATTTCCCACTGCCTCAGGAAGGCGCAAACAGGCTGCAAAGTCTCTCACCATGGCTAATAGATGAACTCCCTAGTTCCCTAGCAACACTGAACATGTGAAAGGCTGTACATTGAGCTCCACACATTCTGTTCTGGAAACTCAGAAGCACCGGTGAAGAATCGCTGTTGACATCTTTTGATGCCAAGCCGGGCAAGAGAAAAAGGTCAAAAAAGCGTGAACCCAAAGCCTGTGTAAAGCATTTCAATTCTGAGAAGTAAGAATCCTTGGATCTACCTCTTCCTTAAGATGACCCCCACAGAATTCTGCCGAGAACATTAAAATTTGGCTTCGACACAAAAAGATAGTACTAGGGAAGCGTAGGTCAGAAGCTGGCAGCATCCTCAAGGCTAGAGCCACAAGCATACGAGTAGCTTCAGAGTGTTACTAGGAGTTTATGGTAACCAGAAACACAGGGCCCCGGGCATGGGTTTGGGTAGGGGAGATGCAGACTGGACCCAAAAACTGTAGTAGTGCAGGCCTATTTAAAGGTGCCATAAGAAGCTTCAAGCAACAGGATTAAAAAAAAAAAAGGTGAAGAGATGGCCATACTAGATTAAAACTTGAGTGCACCAAAATTTCCATAAATATAAAAAGGAAATATTCCATGGATCCTGTGAATATTTTTTGGAGAACTGGAAAATAGATGAGAAAGTAAGAAATTGCAAAGGGCTAATGTCCACTTGATGCAGATAGTCACTGAGGAAGAAAATGATACCAAGGCAAAGGTAAGAAAATAACACTAAGTAAATGGAAACTAAATAGTCGGCGAGTGTAAAGATTCCATGCAGTAACATGCAAAGGAGTGCAAGTCATTAGCCTATATTTTATTTTCTAGATGTAAGGCTATTATTTTAAGATGTCTACTGGGATTCTGGAGAAATGTGCAGTTTCTAATATGGATGGGAAGGCCATGAAACAAAATGACCTAAAAAATAATCTAGCACTTTGTATCAAAGATTTGGGACGTGAAGTCCATAGGATGCTGCAATTTTTTGACACAAAAGATTTGTATAAGGATTTTCCTGATTTCAGTTTTTATTTGGCAGGGTGTTGGAGAAAACCCTGCATGGCAAAACAAAACAAAACAAAACAAAACAAAACCCTAAACTTTGAAAATGATACATTCTTCTTTTCTTTTCTTTTCTTTTCTTTCCTTTCTTTCTTTCTTTTCTTCTTATTCCTCTTCCTCTTCCTCTTCCTCTTCCTCTTCCTCTTCCTCTTCTTCTTCTTCTTCTTCTTCTTCTTCTTCGTCGTCGTCTTCTTCTTCTTCTTCCTTTTTGTTGATAAGAATTCATTGTGTAACTTGGCCTGATCCTACTGCCTCAGTCTCCTGAGCGCTGGGATTATAGACATGCTTGTTGCTATACTTTAATTTCTTTAAAAAGAAATTACAGATAATAATATGGCATACATTTCATGCTTTTGTTAGTAGCCAGAACCAATGTTAAGTAGACTGTTTTTGAAATGACAATGCCTGTTATAATTTACTATTGCTGTTTAAAGTGGCTGAGTGGGGGGTTACTTTATTTTCTATGGCTTTTGGTCTGTTCTTATAAACTATTCTTTGGATTATTGTTCAAGAAGGAAGCAATAGAAATAGATTTAAAAGAGGAGATAAAATCAGAAAATGACTGAGAGGACAGAGACAGACGTAAGTAGACAAGTGAGCAGAACTCTCCTGGTGAGTCACTGTGGGGCCAGGGAACTGCCGGACGTATGTCCCTTTATTGGTATTACTGTTACATTTGGTGGACAACTCGCTAGAGTTTAATAGAACTGCTTCCATAGTTAGTAATGACAGACTATCCTCTTCCCTTGCTCCCTGGGGTTCCTTATCCTTTTGATAAGGAAGGGCTGGAATAAAATGAAAATGCTTATTTAGAAACTGTGAGGTTATAGCCCAGGTAGGACTAGTCATTGGACTATTATGTCCCCTGACACTCACCATGAACTGATATTAAGTGCCCATTAGACTCTTGCCCTTTTAGAATGATTTAACAAGGAATTGCTACCTTCCAGACACTTGTCTAAGTATATCACAGCTGTCAAGGTACCGTCTCCTCAGAAAGCCCAGAAGAACAGTTCTATTATTAAGCCTATTGTGCATATGAGAAACTGAGGAATGGAGGAGAGGAATCACTGGCCCAAGGCCACATTATTTACCAGTGGCAGGAATTGTCCAGATCCCAGTTTGTCTCCTCACTATACCGTGTGCTGCTTTGAAGATGTTCTGAAGGAGTTAGAGCATCAGAAACCTTTGATTTACAGCTCCAGGAATGTGCAAAGCAGGACTCTGGGACAGGGAATCACACAATACACAATGAAGTTGAAAAGACAGGAGAAAAAGATTAACATATTATCTTGAGGAATCCAAGATCCAAGATGAAGGTGCCAGCAGGTTATAACACAGATGCATGCCTGGGAACTCCTGCAAGGACCTCGGTGTTCTTCAGGCTTCCATCTGTGTTCTCATGAGCATCTAATACATGTTGTTCTAGGTAATATTAGAATTAATCCTGTAAGTCAATGGTCATCAACTCAGAGCAAAGGCTCCTGCTTGGTTTGTGCGTGTGGGCGTGGTCTGTGAATTGGGCCGTGGTTTGTGCATGTGGGTATGGGATCATGTGTTTCTTTGGCAGAAAAAGGAGAGGCCCTCGAGCTGATGCCATAGGTGACCTAGTTGTTCGGATTCATTATTTCTTTCTTTCATAACCTTGAATTTAGTATTTTGTGTTTGCGCACAGAAGTCTGCTGTGGGGTGGGTTGGCTCCCTCAGCCTATGAGCACGGCCACTGATGAACAGAAACTGGCTCTCAGTGATCCAGAACACACAGCATTTTCTGCTACTGTCATTCACTGAGACTGAGTCACGGGAATCCGTAGAAGTTGCTGCTCATTAACATGCTCAGTCTTTATCTATCTTCCCCAGTCTCTCAGACCCTCTTTCCATGAACTCACTTCGGGGCTCATCTCAGCTACAAATCCTTGTGCCCCTTGGCTTCTGGAGGAATGGAAGCCAAGAGCTCAGTGAAGGATATAGCTAGCCACGGGAGAGTTGAAGCAAGAATGGAACAATATTCATGTTTAGTGGCTTATTCTCTGAAATCTAGGGAATCACAGAATCAACCTTGAGAAATTTGTGAAATTTATTTAAATTATGGAAGATTTTTTTGTCAGTTTCATAATTATCTGGCCCTTAAATTTTATATTTCCAGGGTCATAGCCTATTTGCAAAGAAAGGAAGTTGGGGCCAAGTTCAAAGGACAGAGGTTAATTTGTAGTCTGAGGACAAAGAGTCCCTATCAGTCAGGCCAATGACAATAAATGAGGGTCATTCATGTCTGTAGGGATGGTCTGACCCCTGAGAGGAGGACATCCTCTCCACAGTTCTGGATACTGCCATGGCACCAGAGCCTCGCTTTCCCTGTGTATTTCTGGATTTCTTCACAGAATCTGACTCAAAGGCCCTTTCTGCCTTGTCCTGTCACTGCTGTGGGCACAAGCTGACATGAGCTAGACCCATGGATAAGATCCTGTGTTTTGCCACTGCTCAATGGCTGCAGAATGAGCTGTACATTTTATTTTTAACTTTGAAACGCAACAACAATGCCCTTTCCTTGTTAGTAAACAGCCAGTTGCTTGATATAAGTGAGAGCTTTACAATCAAATTCCAAGGGTTGCAGTGTGGTGTCAAGAACCTAAAGCTGGAAAAATTTACAGTGCTGTCCTGTGCCATTCAGTTCCCTGTCTCATCAGGGCCCCAGATTCCCCGAACCTTCCTCTTGCATGCATAACCTCTTTCAGGAAGGCACACTCTATTTTTATCTTATCATAATGAAAACCACCTTTTTTGGACTAAATACCTTTGTCTTACACTTTATGCAGGGACCTCGAAAATTACCTTTACGGTCTAAGCTTGAAATGCATAATGTCCAAATAGTTGTGGAGGTAACTAAGCAACAGTCCATGCTCAGTGGTGACGGCAGTGTGATTGCCTGTTGTATCCCAAAGGGGGCAGCCACGTCCTTGCTTTAGCTGACTGTTCCTCAGGGAGTGAGGAGAGACTGCCAGATCTTCAAATATCTTAAAAGAAGCAAGAAATCTCATTTTTTAAAAAATGCACAATTCCTTGTTTTTATACATTGGCAAATAAATCAAAACTCCCTAAAACACTATTTAGGGCAACAGCGCGTGGGCCAAAGCAAATACTTTTGTGGGTTACAACTGTCCCCGGGCTGTTCAGCAGCAGCATCTGATTTATGTGGAAATTCACCACTAACTGGTTTTGCTTCTTGTGGCAGGTCATTTTCACTCTCTAGGATTACTGGTTCCTCACTGATAAAGGGAGCTGCTTAAGTAAGGACAGTGGTTTGTATACTATGTGCCAAGGGGCCTGGGGCTGTTCTGAAGGACCTTGGCAACATTGTCATCATCCAGCATGCCTGCTAGGTTGTAAGTTCAGTATTCAAAAAGAAAGTT